TTTGTATAGAATTTTTTCCACATGTCTCAGTTTTTCTGTAGTTCTTTGCTTTCTCATTTACTATTTCTATTCTGTGTTTGCTTACATGGTATTCACTGATTTTTATTTTTTCATATACACACCATATTTTAAAACATAGACAGGTGAAATACGAGGGTACTTCAGAAAGGTAACAGAAAAAGAACTTAAAATATACATTGATTTGGGTACAAATAAAATTTGAAATCCATTCATAGTTTTTTATAACATGCATTTTCCATGAACTTTTGAAGACTTCTCATTTTACTACACAAGTGTACAGTATACATTGATAGTCAATTGGTAGCACTATTCTCAAATAATTGAAGATAGCCAATATACTTCAAATTTAATCTCTCTTTCTATCCTCATATTTTTTGTGCTTGGTCTTCTGGTGATTTGGCCTTGATTTTCAGTTGTGTCACTTTAATACAAAGTACTATTTAAGTACTTTTTTGTGTCATTTTTGATATGTGTTTTCACTCTTCTAAAAATTTAATCTTAAACACAAGGAAGGCCAGCGCCGCGGCTCACTAGGCTAATCCTCCGCCTAGCGGCGCCGGCACACCGGGTTCTAGTCCCGGTCGGGGCGCCGGATTCTGTCCCGGTTGCCCCTCTTCCAGGCCAGCCCTCTGCTGTGGCCCGGGAGTGCAGTGGAGGATGGCCCAGGTGCTTGGGCACTGCACCCCATGGGAGACCAGGAAAAGCACCTGGCTCCTGGCTCCTGCCATCGGATCAGCGCGGTGCGCCGGCCGCAGCGCGCCGGCCGCGGCGGCCATTGGAGGGTGAACCAACGGCAAAGGAAGACCTTTCTCTCTGTCTCTCTCTCTCACTGTCCACTCTGCCTGTCAAAAAAAAAAACAAACAAAAAAAAAAAACAAAAAAAAAAACAAAAAAAAAAACACAAGGAATATCCTTATAATTATATAAAGTTAATATTTTAATGGATCACATGTTAACAAATGTCTTCATACACTGTTACATCAAAGTTACCACTCAGCTAATTTTTCTTATTCCTGAAGTTAGAAAATTCATTTTCAGTTTTGTTTCAATTTATATTTGTGGCAAATTCTGTTTTTGTGCATCGGACATAGAAGACAAACTGTGCTGATTATAGAATTATGTTTCTACTGCCTATATAATATAAAAATGTCTTTTTTCCTTAGTCCTTTAGCAATATTATTTCAGTTCCTTTAGATGCCCATTATCTCTATTGAAAAATATGCTATTTTTTCTGGGAATCATTAGCCTTTTTAAGATAATCCTCTTGCTCTGATCTTTGTGCAAATTAAAACATTTAGGCATAGATTCTTTTTTCACATTTGGATTTTACTGTCCTTTCTGAATATGAAGATTTATAATATTTTATTATATACATTTACATTACATATAATGTATTATTTAAATATATATTACACAATTTATGTAAATGAAATTCCTGTTCATTTTGACATAAACACTAATTTTCCCATTTTGTTTCTACTATTTCCTTCTGGAATTATTACTTCACAAACGTTAGATTTGAATTCATATCTTAACCTCTCATTTATATTTTCTTTTTTCCTTTAACATTGCACTATTGGCAATTCAAATCTATTACTAATTTCTTTAAATTCACTTTAAATTGTTGTTTAATGTCCATCACATTTTAAATTTTAATTATTAATATTTAAAGATATATTTTATATTATTTTGATTATAAGAATTTATTCAAAAATGTAAGATTATTTTAGCAGTTGAAATCAGCATGATAACAAACAACATAATAATCAATGCAGAAATGTAGAAAAAAACCCCAAAAGCATAGAATGTAGCATCTCGTTAAATAGATTAAGTATAATTATTATTAAAATCTTGGCAGGTGTTCATGGATATTTACAACTGATACATTTGCTGTTTTAAGAATAGTAATTATTTATCATGATCATACATCATCATATTATAATGTGATTATGTGCAAAATTATTTACACACATACATGCACAAACTCTCACCCAGTGTTTGGTCCAAAATGTCAAAATCCTACTTGGTATATTAACAGGATGGCATACCTATGCACACTAGAGTGACATATATAAAGTGCCAGCTCCCTGCTAATGCACCTGGGAAAGCAGTGGAAGATGGATCAAGTGACTGGGGTCCTGCACCCATGTGGGAGGCCCGGAAGAAGTGCTAGGCTTCTGAATTTGGCATGGCTCAATCCTGTCTGTTGTGGCCATTTGGGGAGCGAAGCGGTGGATGGAAGATCAATCTTTCCTTCTCTCTCTCTCTCTCTCTCTCACTCTGCTTTTCAAATAAATGAAATAAATCTTTTTAAAAAATAAAAAAGAATAAAGTGTGGCTGGTATTGTTATTCATTGTCCAAATCTGAATATGCCTAATGATCCATTAGCATTGATTGAACAGAAGTCTGATATATTCCAATACAATCGATTCTAGTCATTCATGGCAGTGGTGCTATATAATCTTCCACTAACCCTGAACTAGTGAAGACTGAAATGTTGCAACCAGGGAAGAGATGGTTAGGTCCCCGTGAGCTTCTTGTTTTATGTATGTATCTGATTAAAGTCACCTAAGTCAGCCTCTGTTTTGGATTTGCTAACATTCACCTCGTGACCAAGGACATTAGGATTTATGCCTGAGTAAGGCATGTCATTTGTCGCAGCACTGCCTTCGGTAGTTAGGAGTAGCAGACAACGCTTCCACACTAAACTAGAGGCCATTTTAAATATCAGAATTAAAACATGAGCATGAAAACGAGAAAATGCATTAAGCTGACCACAAAAAACTGCCTGTTTACATTATGAAGGCCAAAATAAGAAAGTGGACTATCACCTTGCTCAACTTCAGCTGGAAATGTGATAAAATTTTTGATCACTCTGTGGTTTACCAGAAATTACCACAAAACGCTATTAGTGTTGATTTTAGGGAAATGGATAATTTCAAGCAAGTACAAGAATTTCTAGGTTCAGAATCCACAAATGCTAAGAATTAACTGCAATTAGTTTTTTTCATGCAGAAACAAAAAATTAACATGAATGGCAAGACCTTGAATGCATGCAAACTGATTTTCCCATCATAATGTAGAACACAAACCACCAGATTGAAATGACGAATATTTTAGTGTCTTTAGAATGTTCTAAAGTAGGCAGTAATTACATAGGGTGACAGAAATCTACAAAATGACTGGCTTTAGCTAGATAATATCTGTAAGAAGTAAAAGAAGCCATTATTGTTTTAGTAAAATATCTTAAAGCAAAAACAGCTTGACTGAGTCAAGTTCTGCAATGAATGAAATTGTGTTAGATTTTAGGCTAAAAATTCTCTTTAATCATGATTTCATCTGAATATTACTTCTGACCTGGTTAGGCATTATGTAAAGTTTGTTGCATTCTTCTTGTATTTCACAGCTAAAATAGGCACTTTGAAAAGTAATACAATTTGTATGATTACTACCATAGCATTTGAACACTATTTTCAATATTTTCAATTAATGTTTAAAACATCATTTTCTGAAGGTGAAATTACATGTACAGTAAGTTCTGTTAGCTTTTCCTACTGCTGAATATCGAATAGGTAATGTACATATTCAGTAAATGTAGACCTAGTTAACTGAATTTAAAGACCAGCCTGTTTATTTCTGAAACAGCCTTTTAATTTTAACCTACTTCCAAAGAATAATCTCAAACCAAATGCCCATAAATTGTGTTAGCCCTTCTTGCAAACTAAAATAAAAAAAAAAATCAGCCTGCTTAAAAGCCAGCAATCTCTAAGTCAGAAGCAAAGGAGGTGTGATATACAATAATATTTATTCTCAAAACTGCTATGATACCATTAGACTTTATATTCATGTTACATGTGTCAGTTGGACTTAATGGTCTCAAATAAAACAGCTTTTCATCTTCTTACTCAAGATTGTGCTATTCATTCTCATATTAGAAATTGAACTGTTAGGCTGATGAGCCACTATGGATTTGTAACTCAAGGTACCAGAATTTCCTACTAGAAATATTTTCTTTTGTTTGTGTAACCAAACATCTCACAATAGGCAATCAGTGAATGAATACGGGATAGACAGATGAACGATTGGATGGATGAGTGGATGCAGGAATTCCTCTGAAGATGTTAACAGTTGTTATGGTAGCCCTACTTTGAACTTGTTAGCACTTTTTTTGTAGTTCAAAGGAGTTTATTTCAATCCAATATTGTTAAAAAATTTTCTGTAAAAATAAGAAATGGTTTGGTTCTACTATCTTGAAGAAAATTTGATAGTAAACAAGTCTATCAAAAATTTTAAAAATGAAGGAATAAACTTAGTGGACAGTGAGAGAGAGACAGAGAGAAAGGTCTTCCTTTACTGTTGGTTCACCCTCCAATGGCCGCTGCAGCTGGCGTGCTGCGGCAGGCGCACCGCGCTGATCCAAAGCCAGGAGCCAGGTGCTTTTCCTGGTCTCCCATGGGGTGCAGGGCCCAAGCACTTGGGCCATCTTCCACTGCACTCCCTGGCAACAGCAGAGAGCTGGCCTGGAAGAGGGGCAACCGGGACAGAATCCAGCACCCCGACTGGGACTAGAACCCGGTGTGCTGGTGCCACAGGCAGAGGATTAGCCTAGTGAGCCGCGGCGCCAGCCAGGAGTAAACTTTTTAAAAACTTATGTATTTTAATTTTATTTGAAAGGCAGAGAGAGAGAGACAGAGAGAGAGAGAGAGAGATCTTTTATCTCATAGTTCATTTCATAAATGCTGGTACACCTCCAGCCATTGTGGCCTCTTGGAGAGTAAACCAGCAGATGGAAGACCTTTCTCTCGCTCTCTCTCTCACTCTGTCCGTAACTCTGCCTTTCAAATAAAATAAATCCTAAAAAATAATTGTAATGTAAGATTTTCATGAATCTAATTTTTGAAAACCAAAAATAGATGTTATTTTCTTAGTTCTAAATGTTATGTAAAGAGTCACTTTGAAAAGTAGTCATTATTCATACCTGCACAACTTTTTGGGACTGCACATCAACAATAAGAACTCTGTCCAAAGTGGGCTGTGCAACATAAATGAACTTGTCTTTGACGTTCACAGCTGAGGCCCACACACACTTTTGGACTTCATCCCCCTCTGCTTTGGGACACACTTCATCCTGCAGTTTAGGAACAGGAAATGAAATTCATACCATAAATCATAGCACATACATGAGGACATCAGAGATAAAGTTAACATTGGTGCTTCACACTGTAAGGATGGAATGTTCTATATATATATATTATATACATAAGACATAGTTGAAACAGAATGAAGAGCATATTTAAGTTCATATATATACACACATATACATATATGTATATATGTATACACATGTATATATATGTATACACAAATATATACACATATGTATGTGTGTGTATATATATATATATATATGAACCCCTGCAAGTAAATTTCATGTTGTTAGTGATTTTTTTCATGTTACTTATAGTCTTTCATTTTTTCTACCTGTTTAACTCAGTAACTTCAGAAATATATAAGACACTGTTTTCCCCTGGTATACACCCAGCTTCTCCAAACACTGGTGTTTGCCTCCAAGGCACATTCATGGTCCTATCAAAAGTCCCCAGAAACTCTGAAAATGAAAGCAAGCTGCTTCTAGTTTGTGAAGAATCAAAAGCTTAGAGAAATTATAAATGTAGTTATTTATAATGGCTATTTTATTTTTCAATTTGGTTTCAAGGTTACATTTTACAAAGTCATTCAGTCTGCTTATGGTATCTTATTCTGCCTCTTTACCTGAAGCTATTTGCCGGTTGAAAACTTTATAATTTGAGCCAAATGACCCTAAAGCAGGCTAACAACCATTTGTCTAAATTGTCTATTCTCTCCTTTTGGGCATTTTATCAACAAGAGAATGTTAATACTGGGAGGCATCATAAGTATAGGGAAAACGTTTACTGTGCCTGTGTCACGTTTTTCTTTAAACATCAGTCTATTGGTTTAGTGATTCTCTCGACTTCAAGTTAGGAAACCCACTAAGAAGGCATAATGTTAAGCTGTGCATAAACTGCATGAGAAATGACAATTTAAAATGCCACTTTATTTATAAAATGATGACATAATGGTAAGCAACTATTCTAATGTATCATGGATTATTTGAATCTGACAACTATAACTAACCCTCATATAACTAATGTTTGATTTAGTTAAATCAGAATGCTCTTTCTTCTGTGATTTATATTAAAATAGAATTCTTCAGGAATCCTGCTCTCTGTATATTTAATAATCATGAAGCAAAGTTAATGACACTTTATTGATCAACACTGCTAAGCTTTTCTTTTTTTAAAAAAATGTTGTTTAAGGAATACAATCTCATGCATTTCTAAATAAAATTTTGGGAACATAACATGGTGATTCTTCCCCCACTACCTCCCACTCACCCATACTCCTATGTTTCTTCCTCCCCCCTCTTCCTTTCCCATTATTATTTTTATTTACTTTTTTTATCTTTTAACTTTTATTTAATAAATTTAAATTTCCAAAATACAGCTTTTGAATTATAGCGGCTTCCCCCCCCCATAACCTCCACCCACCCGCAACCATCCCATTTCCCCCTCCCTCTCCCATCCCATTCAAATAGTACTCACAGCACAGATACCACATTTTGGCATTCAATAATTACATTGAATACCAAACAACACAAAATTTCTCAAGCAGCAAAAGTATTTTAAGTCACCTTTTCAGTTTGCAAAAAAATTAGAAAATAATGTAGATAGCAGGGTATTCCGGAATGAGATACTCAGTGTGTGGCCTGTTGCTTATGTTCATCAAAGTGCAAATCTAATTCAGAAAAGACGGGAAGCACCCACTCATTGGTAAGACCCAGTCCAGCATTGTGAGGTTCAGGAACATATAACAGTAGTGTTGGTTATAGCACAGACTGTTTCAGCCTTCCAGGCCATGAGGGAAAAACACTAGGCACTTGAGGCATGGATGTGTCGGGTTCTTTGAATTATGAAGTCTACTCCTCATTGAGTGCACCGTAACCATTAGCAGATGCCCCCAGTAGGGTGGATCCCAGGAACATGCAGAGTAACATTAAGGAGGGCGAGGAAAGGAGGCAGAAGGCTGCCCCATGCACATGTCCCGGGTAGGTTACGGCATTCAGCCTCCATTCATCGGTTCCTACTGGAGCTTGGTTTTCTGCGTCAAACTTTGCTTCAGAAGTACACTGCATGTCATTGACAAGAACCTAGTTCGCGAGAAACAAACACTATATAAAAGATGTACTTGAGAGGCATGAAGAGACAGGGAAAACATGGGACCTCATGTTGATGGAAAGCTCTGAATACAGAGAAATCCTCTCCAAACTCCTCACTGTTGTGTAAAAGCTACCGACAAAACCTGACAGAATAACAGCACAGTGTGAGTGACCTGACAGTTAACTGTCAGCCAAACGACTGTTGAACCAGGAACAGTTTCCACCTCTTTGTCTGCTGGAAAACTATTCAGCAGTAAAATAGCTGCTCTGCTGGGAATTGTTTGCTTTCTGTGTGCTGTCCCCATAAGACCTCCCTCACCAGACTTCAAATCATTTCTACAAAACCATTAAGCATTTCCTGACAGTCACCCTGGATAGTCTATGCTTTGCTGTGTGTCATTATTGCTTTCGATTTATAGTCTATTATGTCCCATTTTGAAAAGGCACTTTTTTCAGATGACACAGATTAATATTTATTTCAGTATATAGGAATAGTAAAGAAATATTTTTGAATGCATTAAGCATTTAATGGAATAAAAAGAGGTTAAGAGATACCAGAGATAGAAAATAGAGATTGATATAATATATACTGATGAGCAAAATTATCAGAAATTATATCAAAGAGTATCATTCAATCATTAAGTCACTGATAAGGTATTACAAATAATAAGGATGAGAGTCAATAACCACAAAACAATTCTAGTTCATAATTACATTCTATCTCATTACCTTTGGGTTGGTTCCATGTATAATCACATACTTCATGCATATATATTAATCTGTTTCCAAATTTTAAAGGAACACAAGATACAGTACTACTGATTGTGGCCAGTTTAATTTAGTTATTAGAATATTATAAATATCTTTTCATTTTCTAAGCTTACATAAATCAGAAAAATATTTATTTTTACTTTCATTTATTTATTGGATTTATTTATTTATTGGATTTATTTATTTGAAAGGCAGAGTTACAGAGAGAGAGAGAGAAAGAGAGAGAGAGAGAATCAGAGAGATCTTCCATCAACTGGTTCACTCCCCAGATGGCCACAACAGCTGGAGCTGGGCTGATCCCAAACTAGGAGCCACAGCTTCTTCCAGGTCTCCCACTTGGGTGCAGGGGCCCAAGCCCTTTGGCCATCCTCCGCCGCTTTCCCAGGCACATTCGAGGGGGATGGATTAGAAGTGCAGCAGCTGGGACTTGAACCGGCGCCTCTCTGCGATGCCAGCACTGCAGGTGATGGCTTAACCCACTATGTCACAGTGCCGGCCCCAAGAATGTATCTTGTACATTGTTATCTATGATACTGATTGCCTGTTGCAATACTTTGCCCTCAAATATCCAAACTCACAGCTTCCCTTTCTTTCCTTCTTCATACTCCCCCGCTCAGTGCAACCTGCACCATTCACAGAGGAGATAAATACCAGTTATAAGAATTCCATTGTCCTGTGTCCACCTTAGGTCCTTTCACGACCCCCTCCTCCCACGCTTCTAGATTAGATGATTTGCCCCACAATTCCCTGCTTTGAGGAAGACCTACCCCACTTTTGATTTTATAATTTCCGTTATGTTTCCAGGTAGTCAAACAGGCACATTGTCTCCTAAATTTAAGAAAAACAAACAAACAAAAAAAAACCCCTTTGTTTTACCTAAGTAAATTTATCTTTTAATTCCACTTTTATAAACTACCTAAAACCCCTCTATGATTAAATGCCAAATTATGTGACATAAAACACAGATTCTGGGCCGGCGCTGCGGCTCACTAGGCTAATCCTCCGCCTAGCGGCGCCGGCACACCGGGTTCTAGTCCCGGTTGGGCACCGGATTATGTCCCGGTTGCCTCTCTTCCAGGCCAGCTCTCTGCTGTGGCCCGGGAGTGCAGTGGAGGATGGCCCAAGTGCTTGGGCCCTGCACCCCATGGGAGACCAGGATAAGCAGCACCTGGCTCCTGCCATCGGATCAGCGCGGTGCGCCGGCTGCGGCGGCCATTGGAGGGTGAACCAACGGCAAAGGAAGACCTTTCTCTCTGTCTCTCTCTCTCACTGTCCACTCTGCCTGTCAAAAAAAAAACAAAAAACAAAAAACAAAAAAACAAACAAACAAACAAAAAAAAACACAGATTCTGTGAAAAATAAGAAAAAAATCAGCGAGGGCCATAGTAGCTTGCAGTGAATTTACAGGTGCTGAAATACAATTGTCAAATGTGAATTGAAAATAATCTGCTGTATAAAATGCATGTAGCTGTGCAACATCACCGTATTTTGTGAAACAGTATAGAGACCATTTTGTCTATAGGACCAGATATTTGGGTTATTTATTTATTTTCACAGATAGAGATAGTGAGAGAGAGAGACAGGTTTTCCTTCTGTTGGTTCACCCCCCAAATGGCCGCTATGGCCAACGCTGTGCCGATCCGAAGCCAGGAGCCAGGTGCTTCCTCCTGGTCTCCCACACAGGTGCAAGGGCCCAAGCACTTGGGCCATCTTCCACTGCCTTCCCGGGCCACAGCAGAGAGCTGGACTGGAAGAGGAGCAACCGGGACTAGAGCCCAGTGCCCACAGGGGATGCTGGTGCCACTGGCGGAGGATAAGCCAGATCTTATGGGTGTTTGGGGAGTGAACCAGCAGATGGGAGATCTCTGTCTGTGCATGTCCATGTCTTTCCTCCTCTCCTTCTCTCTCCATCAATCTGCCTCTCAAGTAAAATTTTTAAAAATTCCAAAGAAAATTTTCCAGTCAGTAGTCTTCAGTTCTTGTTGGGAAGCACTTCTTTAGCATGTACTATGTGACATATACTGTTCAAAACTGTGCTTGGAAGTTAAATATATACATATATATATTAAATATATAAATATATATGTATATAATATATAATATATGTATATAATGTATAT